CCCAGACAGGAGACAGAGGTACAGAAGAAAGGGAGAACCTGCAGGATAAGCCAGGCTATCTGACATTTTGACAGAGGGGAAGGGCCATGGCTCAGTGGCAGAGCATCTGCTTGGCATGCAGGAAGTCCCGGGTTCAGTCCTTCTGTCTCCAGTAACGTGAAAGATCTCTGCCTGAGACCCCGGAGAAATTTATCACTTGAGGATCCCCTCTTCAAACTAGTGTGAACTGGCCCAGAATTGGAAATGTCTGCAGTAGGTCTTCTGTTTCTCGCTCCACTGCCCCTGATGGAGCCGCCAGTGTTTTTCTGCGTGTAAAAGCATCTGCTTGGCATGCAGAAAGTCCCGGGTTCAGTCCTGCCGTCTCCAGTAATGTGAAAGACCTCTGCCTGAGACCCCGGAGAACCCTGGCGGTCTGAGTAGACAGCACTAATGTCCGTAGACCAGAGAACTGATTCAGATAAAGCAGCTTCATGTGTGTTCAGAGGTCAACAGTTTGAAGACTTACCTTCTGTACCCATTCCCCTCCCCCTTCTTTTACACCCAGGAAGCACCAAAGATGCCCAACGGGATGTATGACGGGAGCGCGCTAATCCGGGCCTCTGGAAAGCTGTTCCTGCTCCAGAAGATGCTGAAGAACCTCAAGGAGGGAGGCCACAGAGTGCTGATCTTTTCCCAGGTACCCAGGAGCAGCGGCTCCTTCCTGTGGCGGGCTGGATCAGCTGCGTGTGAGCGCGTGTTTCCGCTCCATAACCAAAATTCATGTCTTTGTCCTCAGATGACTAAGATGTTGGACCTTTTAGAGGACTTCCTGGAGCACGAAGGCTACAAATACGAAAGGATTGATGGCGGGATCACTGGAAATATGCGCCAGGAGGCCATCGATCGTTTCAACGGTATGGATAGGAGGACACCTTTGCTCCCCTCGGTGCCTTCTCAGCTTCGGTGGAGTTGCTTGCCTGCTGGAGCAGCCCTGTTCGCGATGCTCTCCAGGGGAAAAGGGGAAGGGCTGGGTATTCCAAGGTAGTAGTGGGTGCCAGTGTGGTGTAGTGGTTAAGAATGGCGGACTCTAACCTGGAGAACCGGGTTTGATTCCCCACTCCTATTCCTCATAGAGCCAGCTGGGTGACCTTGGGTCAGTCACAGTTCGTTCAGAACTCTCTCAGCCCCACCTACCTCCTAAGGTGCCTGTTGTGGGGAGAGGAAGGGAAGGGCGACTGTGAGCCATGCTGAGACTCCACAGGGTAGAGAAGAGTGGGGTATAAAAAACCTACTCCTCCTCTTCTTTTTATTCCAATGGGTGACTAATTTTGTTCCCTTTCTTCTCAGCGCCTGGAGCTCCGCAGTTCTGTTTCCTGCTTTCCACCAGAGCAGGGGGTCTCGGCATCAACCTTGCCACGGCAGACACTGTGATCATCTACGACTCTGACTGGAATCCACACAATGACATCCAGGTGAGTCTGAATGGGCAGGATTGCCCTGTGAGATTCCCAGGCGGAAAGGGAGCTCGGAGGAGCGTGGGGGATGAAACGGGTGAAAACCCCGTGGGCTGTGGGAAGCTGAAGAACTCCTGTGGGGGGAGAGGAGAACTGATGAATCACTGCTGATTTTTATTTATTTATTTTTCTCAATGCCTTCCCCCCCCCCTCCCCTCTGTCTGGCTTTCAGTCGTGCTCATCGAATCGGGCAAAACAGGAAGGTGATGATCTACCGCTTTGTGACGCGAGCCTCCGTGGAAGAGCGCATCACACAGGTGGCCAAGAAGAAGATGATGCTGACCCATCTGGTTGTGAGGCCGGGGTTGGGCTCAAAGACAGGCTCGATGTCCAAACAAGAGCTGGACGACATCCTCAAGTTCGGCACTGAAGAGCTTTTCAAAGACGAGGCCACTGACGGTGGCAAGAACCTGCGCAACGTGGCGCAAAGTGAGTAATGGAGCTGGCTCTCCCGTGGGAAGCGGGGCCGTGGCCTGTGCTTCTCAGATGCAGCCAATCTTTGTTCCTCCAGGTGATAACAAGGAAGGTGAGGACAGCAGTGTCATCCATTACGACGACAAGGCCATCGAACGCCTGCTGGACCGGAACCAAGACGAGACGGAGGATGCCGAGCTGCAGGGCATGAACGAGTACCTGAGCTCCTTCAAGGTGGCGCAGTACGTGGTGCGCGAAGAGGAGATGGGCGTACGTATGAATACCCACACACACCCCCGCGGGCCTTGTGCGTTTTGGTTCTTCCGTTCCCTGGCACAGAGCTCTCGAGCGCGGAGGCCATAAGGGGTCGCAAGAGACTCAGACTGTTCCCTTCCTGCGGCAGGAGGAAGAGGAGGTGGAGCGGGAGATCATCAAGCAAGAAGAGTCGGTGGATCCGGACTACTGGGAGAAGCTGCTGCGTCACCATTACGAGCAGCAGCAGGAAGATCTGGCTCGGAACTTGGGGAAGGGCAAGCGCATCCGCAAGCAGGTCAACTACAACGACGGTTCCCAGGAGGACAGAGGTAGGGGTGTGTATGTGTGCGTGTCGAAGGAGAGGATGAAGAAGTGACCCCCCAGAAGGAGAGTGGGGCGTGTGTGGACTCAGATAAGCTGGCCCGGGCGTTCTTGGCCTCTGCCTGTGGTCTCGGAGGCACAGGAGGATACAGAAAGCTTGGCGAAGCTCAGCAGGTCCGGGGAGCCCTGTGGACCCACCACCTCGTCTCCCAGGATGCAAGTTCCACAATAACGCTGCTGTCTTTTGTCTTTTTCCAGACTGGCAGGACGACCAGTCGGATAATCAGTCGGATTACTCCGTGGCCTCCGAGGAAGGCGATGAAGACTTCGACGAGAGGTCGGAAGGTAGGTTTGCGATGGGCTGCAGAAACTCATGCGTGTGAAACTCATGCGCGTGGCTCTTCTGCACTGGGGGAGCGAAATCAGGAGGAGCCAGCTGGGCTGTGCAAGAGTAGATGGATTCTCTTTCCTAGCGCTTTCCCTTCTAGGACTTGTTAAGGACTCTGTCTAACTGATGGACGTGTGTAAAGTGCCATCAAGTTGCAGCGGTCTTATGGCGGCCCTGTAGGGTTTTCGAGGCAAGAATCTCACAGGGGAGGTTTGCCATTGCCTTCCTCTGCATTTCGACCCTGGGATTCCTTGGTGGACTCCCATCCAAATGCTAGCCAGGGCCGGCTCTGCTTAGCTTCTGAGATCGGGCTAACCCGGGCCCTCAGGGCGTCCAACTGACAGGCTCCCCCACGTTGATCTCTGCTGCTCTCACCCGCCTTTTTTGCCTCTCCAGCTGCCCGCCGGCCCAGCCGCAAGGGCCTCAGGAACGACAAAGACAAGCCGCTCCCCCCGCTGCTCGCCCGCGTGGGAGGCAACATTGAGGTGAGTGAGATCCTGTGTTCGAGCATCGGCGCCTGCGTGCTTCGGGCTGCCGCTGCATCTTTCTGAGGGCCTCCCTCCCCTTCCCTTCCCCTTCTCAGGTCCTTGGCTTCAATGCCCGCCAGCGGAAGGCCTTCCTTAATGCCATCATGCGCTACGGGATGCCCCCTCAGGATGCCTTTACCACCCAGTGGCTGGTGCGGGACCTCCGCGGGAAGTCGGAAAAGGAGTTCAAGTGAGTCTTCTGGGCGAGGCTGAAGGGGGAGGCATAATTTTAACGGGTGATGGCGAGGAGAGTTCTCCATTGGTGGGGAAGGTATCCTTGGTAGCGACGATGCTTCCTCCTCAGGGGATATGCTCATTTTTTGCAAAGGTTTCCAGCTTCCTTAGTAGGGGAACTCCTGGCCCACAACCTGCCTGCTCTAATTGATTGATTAAATGTATTTATATCCTACCTTTCTCTCTGATGGGGGACACAGATCTGTTTACGTCATTTTCTTCTCCATTGTCTTCTCACAACAACCCTGTGAGGTAGGTTAGGCTGAGTGTGCGTGACTGGCCCAAGGTCACCCAGCAAGGTCACCCAGCAAGTGAGGATTCAAACCTGGGTCTCTCAGATCCTAGTCTGACACTTTCACCACTACACCATGCTGGCTCTGTGGCTGGACAGGCTTCCACGACTGCCTTGGGACTGCCTTGGGCCCATCTTGCCCCGACACTCTAAAAAACCCTCAGTCCCCTTTTCCACCTTCAACGGCAGGGACAAAATTAAGAGTTCCTTTTGCTCCCGGTTGGGGACGCCTCCCGATGGCAGCGCCTGGAGCAGAGCAGAGCCGCTGAAGTTGAGGCCGTCCTGTTTCTTTCTTTTGTGTGTGTGTGTGTCTGTGCTTGCATGCCTGGAAGTCATGGTGATTTCTGGCGACCCCCAGTGGGGTTTGGATGTTTCAGAGAGGTGCCTTGCTATTGCCTGCCTCTGCGTCCTCCTGAGCCCTGGTATTCCTTGGAGGTCTCCCACCCAAGTACTTGCCAGGGTCGGCCCTGCTTATAGCTTCCGAGATCTGAGGAGATCGGGCTTGCCTGGTCTATATCCAGGTCAGGGCCAGGCCGTCCTGTTTCTGTGTCTCATTCTCCTTCCTCTCCCACAGGGCCTATGTCTCTCTCTTCATGCGCCACTTGTGTGAGCCAGGAGCTGATGGTGCAGAGACATTTGCAGACGGGGTCCCTCGTGAGGGCCTGTCCCGGCAACACGTCCTCACGCGAATAGGGGTCATGTCTCTCATACGCAAGAAGGTGGGTACGAGCACTTCCCACTCGCCCCCTACGTAGGTCCTGGCCACTGCTTAGGCGACGGTGTATGCCTCTGCCTCCCAACTTTCCTTTTAAGGATCGGCGACATAGCACAGATTGGAACGGATCCGGTGTACCAGTTTTGTGTTAGGAAGAGGGGGAAAGCACGGTTGTTAGCGGAAGAGAGCTGCAGGGTGTAGCCCGTTGTTATTTGATTGGCTCTGATTTTGAAAGTTTCCCCATGTCTTTTCCCCGCTACTTAGGTGCAAGAGTTTGAACACGTGAACGGTCGCTGGAGTATGCCGGAACTGGCAGAAATAGAAGAGAACAAGAAGCTTTTGCAGCCTAGTTCACCTTCCCCCAAAACCCCAACTCCCTCCACGCCAGGAGACACGCAGCCTAATACCCCGGCCCCTGTGCCACCAGTTGGTGAGAACCTGAAGTGTGTGTGTGTGTGTGTGTGTGTGCCTTTAAACAGCCCCGTCCAGCCTTCAGCTGTCGCTCCCCTTGCCGAAACTGTGGCAGGGAGCTTGGGGGTGGACGCAGATAAAACTCCTCTTAATTTAGGAGGGCTTCTGTGGAGTGTTGAGATGCCTTCAAAGGCGCAAGAGGACATCTGTGTGGGATGCTTGTGTGGGGGGGATGGTGGCCAGTGCCCGCAAGTCACAGCCGACTCATGGCGACCCTGCAGGTTTTCAAGGCAAGAGACGTTCAAAGGTGGTTTGCCGTTGCCTGCATCTGCCTAGCAACCTTGGTACTCCTTGGCAGTCTCATCCAGATGCTAGCCAGAGCCGACCCTGCTTAGCTTCCAAAATCTGACCAGATCAGGCTAGCCTGGGGGCTGTCCGGGACAGGGAGTATTTGCGGGCGGGGTGTGTGTCTGCCAGAGTGGTGCTGTCTTCTCTTGTGGGCAGAGGGAGGCTTAGAGGTAAGTTTTCGGAAAGATGTTTTGCTGAACGCTTCTTTTCTTCTTCTTGCCTGTACAGAAGAGGCTGCAGTAAAGGTGGAAGAGGGAGCCAGCGCCAAGGAGCAGGGGGAGCCGGCGGAGCCAGAGAAGGAGACCAGTCCTCCTGCCACTACAGCTGCTGCTGCAGCTGAAAATGAAGTCCCCATGGAGGTGAGCATCTGCCAAAGGCTGGAGGTCGCTGGCCTGAAAGCGGTCCAGTTTCTTCCCTTGGTCTTTCAATCTTTTGCCTCATGCTTGGAGGTCTGGGCCAGTGCTGCTCTGTATTCCTGGTGCTTGGGGGGGCAACAGTGGGAGGGCTTCTGGAGTTCTGGCCCCGCTGGTGGACCTCCTGGTGGCACCTGGGTTTTGGCCACTGTGTGACACAGAGTGTTGAACTGGATGGGCAATTGGTTTGATCCAGCACGGCTTCTCTGATGTTCTCAGATTCTTTGGGTTTCAAGGGCTGTTGTTACCTTGCCATGTTGTCTGGTCTGTCCCTGCTGGATGGGAAATGTGCCTTGTTGTTCCTTCTTGTTGTTCAGTACTGGAGTAGTGTATTTGACTATCAAATAAGCTACAGATCTCATAGAGCAGTTTTTAACGTTTGGGCATCTCCTAGCATGTATCTGAACATTTAAGCAGTATTTTTCTTACTGTGATCTTGTGGTCAAAAATGGCAGCCTTTCATTAAAAAAATTTTAAAGTTAAATTTTGGTGGACGCAATAAAATGTGCAGCACGTCCACTGGGAAAAGAGCATGTACATTTTTTTTGAAAGGGTGCAGAGAGGGTGACAGATGGATCTTCTTTACTGGGGGAGACCTTTTGGGGAACACTCAGTTAATCGCAGTGCAAAACTGCAGACACCATTAGTGTAAAAGTTCCATGTATCAAGAAAGATGCACGTTCTAGGTGACTTTGTGTTTCATTGCAGGCTGTTACCTTTACCAGGCTGCAGTGTTTCTGAGGCCCACCATGTGCTGCTCCCCTCTAACAGCAGCCCTGGGCAGCTTGCCTGTAGACAGAGATTGGGGTGGGGGTGTTTCTAGATTTCTTACAAGCTGCATTGTGTTCTTGCGCTCTCTGACATTTGTTTCCTTGACCTCCATCTGCAGCAGGACCCTCCTCCAACAGAGACCCACGCCCCGGAGGTTAAATCCCCTGTGAATGCTGTGGAAATGGAAGATAAGAAGCCAGATGATCCGGTGGTGAAGGAGGAGCCCATGGAAACAGATAACAAAGGTACAATTGTAGCCACGCCTTGATGATGCTTGGACGTTTCTGTGCCCTCTTGATTTCCTTTTCACCAGACTGGACGCCTAAGGGTTTTTTTTTGTTTTTTAATTGTCCCCTCCTACAGCTGATGTAGAGAAGGTGGAAGAGAAGACCCCCGCAGAGCCCCCCAGTGAGCCCCCAACCATCAACCTAGATGAGAAAGGTAAGCATGCTCTAAAAGCGTGGCGAGGGTGCTGCGAGGGCCCCTGCTGTGGGTCTGAGTCTGGATGCTGTGTGTATGCAAGCCCCCCACTGAGGTTTTTCTCCTCTTTGCAGAAGAGAAGAAAGAGGAGGAAAAGAAGGACGTGGTGATGCTGCAGAACGGGGAGACGCTGAAAGACCCACCTGAGGACCGCCACAAGAAAGCCCTGAAGCAGCGGTTCATGTTCAACATTGCAGATGGGGGCTTTACAGGTACCGGCTTTACAGGAACGTCGCCGCTGCCTGCCGGGGTTGATGGGTGTGGGCGAGTATCTCCTGATGCTTCTTTCCAGAGATTGGGGTGGGGGTGTTTCTAGATTTCTTACAAGCTGCATTGTGTTCTTGCGCTCTCTGACATTTGTTTCCTTGACCTCCATCTGCAGCAGGACCCTCCTCCAACAGAGACCCACGCCCCGGAGGTTAAATCCCCTGTGAATGCTGTGGAAATGGAAGATAAGAAGCCAGATGATCCGGTGGTGAAGGAGGAGCCCATGGAAACAGATAACAAAGGTACAATTGTAGCCACGCCTTGATGATGCTTGGACGTTTCTGTGCCCTCTTGATTTCCTTTTCACCAGACTGGACGCCTAAGGGTTTTTTTTTGTTTTTTAATTGTCCCCTCCTACAGCTGATGTAGAGAAGGTGGAAGAGAAGACCCCCGCAGAGCCCCCCAGTGAGCCCCCAACCATCAACCTAGATGAGAAAGGTAAGCATGCTCTAAAAGCGTGGCGAGGGTGCTGCGAGGGCCCCTGCTGTGGGTCTGAGTCTGGATGCTGTGTGTATGCAAGCCCCCCACTGAGGTTTTTCTCCTCTTTGCAGAAGAGAAGAAAGAGGAGGAAAAGAAGGACGTGGTGATGCTGCAGAACGGGGAGACGCTGAAAGACCCACCTGAGGACCGCCACAAGAAAGCCCTGAAGCAGCGGTTCATGTTCAACATTGCAGACGGGGGCTTTACAGGTACCGGCCGGCTAGGAACGTCGCCGCTGCCTGCCGAGGTTGACGGGCGTGGGTGAATATCTCCTGATGCTTCTTTTCCTCTGTTGCAGAGTTACACTCCCTGTGGCAAAACGAAGAGCGAGCCGCTACCGTCACAAAGAAGACCTACGAGATCTGGCACCGGCGCCGGGTGCTTGTTTTAATCTCTGCAGCTCTTCCTCTCTCTGTGTGCTTTACACATGCAATACAGTGCATCCTCTGTATTTGCTTATTGTTAATGCTATCTCCCCCCCCCCTTTGCTCAAGAGGCAAGAGAGAAGGGAAGAGAAGAGATTGGATGAATGCCCCGCCCTTCACTACCCGAAGGTGTCTCAGAGCGGCTTACAAGCTCCTTTCCCTTCCCCTCCCCACAACAGACACCCTGTGAGGTAGGTAGGGGCTGAGAGAGCTCTTTCGAGGACTGCCCTTGAGAGCACAGCTCCGAGAGAATTGCGCCTGGCCCAAGGTCGCATGAGGAGTGGGGAATCAAACCTGGCTCTCCCAGATGGGAGTCTGTGCTCCCAACCACTACATCAAACTGGCTTTCCGAGGGTAGCTCATGTCATGTCAGCCCATCCTACCTCACGGTGTTGTGAAGAGAAAGCAGGAGAACAGTGTAAGCCACTTTGGGGCAAGGCTCCCTCTAAGCTGCGGAGCCTTGTGAGCAAAAATTCTACTTTGGGAGCTACTGGCATTAAAGTTGTGAGCGGACGATTTGGCTACTGGAGATGTCCCTTCCTGAGCTAAGACAAAAATGTGTGAGCCGGAGGCTAAAAAACTGTGAGCCGAGCTCGCACTAACTCGGCTTAGAGGGAACACTGCTCTGGGGTCCTCCCCATAGGGAGAGGAGAGCCAGGGTAGAAACGAAGAAAGTAAATAGATCCTTGCAACGATTGAATGAGTGATGGTCTGCTGTTCCCAGAGTCACTGTGTACTTGCTGGCTGGGGTCTGAACCCGGCTCTCCCCCCATCCAAGCCCAGCATTCTAGCAGGAATACAATCCTGGGGTGCTCTCGGGGCAGCCATGTCAAGTCTGCAGGAGAAGAGCTCGGTCCGAGTCCAGCAGCACCTTCGAGACCCACGAGGTTTTCATCGGATGTCTGACAAAGGGAGCTTTGACTCCCGGAAGCTTCTACCTCGAAAACCTTGTTGGTCTCCAGGGCTGCGACTGGACTCGGAACGAGCTGTTCTACGGCACATACTGCAAATGCGATATATGCGGCTTTCTGTTCGGTGAGCCACGACCTGGAGCCTTTGCCTATGAAGCCAGCTTGCTGCAGTGGTTAAGAGTGGCGGACTCTTAATTTGGAGGACCAGGTTTGATTCCCCACTCCTCCTCCACATGAAGGCAGCTGGGGGACCTTAGGCCAGCCACAGCTCTCTCAGCCCCCACCTACCTCACAAGCAGTGTTCCCTCTAAGATGACTTAGTGTGAACTAGCTCACAGTTTTTTAGCCTCCAGCTCACACATTTTTGTCTTAGCTCAGGAGGGATGGCTGCAGAGCAAACTAATGTATGCAGTAGCCCAATCGCTGGCTCACAGCTTTAATGCCAGCAGCTCACAAAGTGGAATTTTTGCTCAAGATACTCCACAGCTTAGAGGAGGGAGTGTTGCTCACAAGGTGTCTGTTGTGGGGAGAGGAAGGGAAGGTGATTGTAAGCTGCGGTGAGACTCCTTCGGGTAGTGAAAAGCGGGGTATAAAAACCAGCTCCTCTTCTTCTGAATTCCTGGGTGATTTTTCCCATCCTCTGACTACCACTTCATCCCCTTCCCTTTGGTTCTGTGCCATTGTTTTCCTCCCAGTGGGAGACACCAGAGTGCTTTCCGTTCTTTAAAGGTCTGCTCTGGTTCTGGCAACCCCGTCACCGGAGGGCCCCCCCCCCTGCAGACAGAGGCACGTTCCGTCTGGTGCAGGGAGGCTGTGCTCCAGCAGATTTTGCGGCAGCGTTTTGGCAGTGAGAGGATGGGAGCCAAGCCAGGGGAGTGAGCAGCCAAGGCTGACGGTGGTGCTTGGCCCCACTTCTCGCTCTTTGAACCGATTCTGGGCTCTGGGGCATGACTTGCATCTTCTGAAGAAGCGAAAACGCGTTAGTGTCGTTCGCTGGGATATGCTGGACTGGCACCCCTTCCCCTTATGAAACTCTTCCAGGGCTGTACCTCTCGAATGAGGTCTAGTCCCGCCATGAAGCCCCTCAAGTGTAGATGGTGAAAACGCCACCGGGGGCTGGATCTGTGGTTTCCCCCAAACTTATTTTTCTCCTGAGCTCAGCCAACTTCAGCCACGGTTACGCTCGCTGGCAAGACATCCAGAACGACCCTCGTTACGCCATCCTCAACGAACCTTTCAAGGGTGAAATGAACAGGGGCAACTTCCTGGAGATCAAGAACAAATTCTTGGCCAGGAGATTTAAGGTGAGAAACTCTTTTCTCCCATCACTCTGCCAGCTCTTCTTGGTGACAGTGAGAGCTTCTGAGTAGCTTGGGTCTTTTTACAGGGCCAAAGTGGCTCATTTTCTTCCTATGGTCACACGAAAAAGAGATCATTCTCTGGAACGTGTTATGGCTTAGAAGGAAAGTTACAAAGATGCACCAGCTCCTCTTGCTACAGAGAGGTTCACTTCTTATGTACAGCAGTCTATACATTTTGAGAAGTCAGCTCTGCAACTTTCCAAGTGCGCTTGGTGCATTGAACCAATTAATAGTTTCGGTTTTTTAAAACCTTGGCGTGAGGCTAGGTAGTCCTTCCATCGCCAGTTGGAAGTACGTGGAGCCAGGCCTTGAAACTGGTGTGCTGGAGATCCAGGAGAGGACAGGGGTGGTTTTCAGAAAGCAAAACAGCTTATGGAATCCACACACCACTGGGCAGGGTTTTCGGTGTGTGTTTTGAGATGGTTTGTTTATTATATTTATGTATTTATTCGTTAGTTTTCTATCCCGCCCTCCCTCCGAAGCAGCGCAGGGTGGCTTACAACAGTTATAAAACCAGCATAAATACATACATAAAATGCAACTCAGTAAAATAGCTCAGCTCATTTCCAATTAAATTAAATACAGTTAAAACTATTTAAATGTGGTGGTGTCGTGTAATAAAGTGCAAGTGCAGCACAGCCGATATAGGGTCTTCCCTACTGGAACGCCTGGTGAAAAAGCTTCGTTTTCACGGCCCTTTGGAATTGCTGGAGGTCCCGCAGGGCTCTGATCTCATTGGGGACCTCATTCCAGAGCATCGCCACCAACCTGGCGTCCCTAGGGGGGGCCCAGGCGGTTTTGTGTACCAGATCACAGTGCTCTTTGGGGAACATGCGGGGAAAGGCGGCCCTCAGGTAGGCAAGCCCCTGACCATAAAGGGCTTCTGGGTCAGGCCACATAGGTAACATTGGCATCTGTCCCACTTTTCTGCCTTTCTGATCTTACTGGCACAAGCCTGTCTTGCATGGGGACTGCCACTTACGTGCCATATTGGCTACTGAGTCAGGGTCTGTTTAGAGAGCGGAAAATCTGTGTATTTATTCTTTCGACTTATATTCTGCTCTCCCCCACGATCGCGGGGCTCAGAGCGGATTGCAACATATGATAACAGTTTAAAATGCAGTTAAAATCCGCAAAATACAAAGTCAAACATTAGTCAGATGGCCTATGAGGTGTAACGCTGTTCCCGGGGAAGAAATGGAAGAGGAAGGAGCAGAAGGCGAGATAGGAACTCTCCTGTCTGACCCCTACGTTTGGCGATACAGGTCCATTTTACAGGCCCTGCCCTGCAGAATTGAGCCAAATCCCACAGGGCTCAGCTCTCACTCGGAAGTGCATTCCACCAAGCTGGGGCTTTTGCCGAGAAGGCCCTGGCTCTGATAGAGGCCAGGTGAATATTCCTAGGCCCCAGGACCGTGAGCAAGTTGTTATTTGAGGAGTATAAAGCTCTTGGGAGGGGGGGTATGCTGAAAGAGGCAGTCCTGAAGGTATGTTGGTCCCAGACCATGAAGGGCTTTAAAGGTTAAAACCAACACTTTGAATGTGGATCTAACATGCATGACACACACTGGGTGGCTTTGAATCACGGGCAGCATGAGGCAGTCTCTTCCACACACAAGCTTGCGATATTTCGTGGTGTTGTGCAGCTAGTTCTACTAGCCCAAGGCCCTTCCCTCCAGCCTTTGCTTGACGCCAGAGTCGGAAGGCTGGAGAGAGAGAGAAGCACCTCTGCTCGCAGGAGGAGTCTCAGGAACTTGGCTGACTGTCTAGTGGCCACCTGAACAACACGCAGGTGCTTGACCTGAAATAAGCCTTCCGGTGAAAATGGGACAAGTATGTAAAGGCGCCCTTTAAACCTTCCTTCGCCACTTCTATTGCCTTCACACGGTGGGGGGGGGGAGGGGGCAGCTGCTGCTGCTGCTGTTGCACACCTGCCCTGTACTTGGGAAGAGGCACCAGCATCTGGACAGAGGGGTTTTGGAGGATCTTGGCAAAGGAGAGTAGATTGCTCTCAGTCAACAGCAGTAGCCCAGTCTTCAGAAATCTTATTTCAGGACATTTTGGGAGGGGTCAGATTATTAGAGAAATGGGGGAGAGGGACTAAAATCCTGCAGATGAGCTCTGAAACGGATAGCTCAGGCAAGCCCAGTCTCGTCAGGCAGGTCTCGGAAGCTAAGCAGGGCCGACCCTGGTAAGCACTCGGATGGGAGACCTCCAGAGATACCAGGGCTGTGATGCAGGGGCAGGCTGTCAAGCCACTTCTCTGAATGTTCTCCATGCTTCGGTAGGAGTCACCAGAGGTCGCCAGGCCTTCCAGGCACAGGCAGGGGCGCGCACACACACACAAATGCAAAATAAAATAAAATCCTGCAAATGATACCTTCTTCTTCATCAGTAGAATCACACACACACACACAAGCAGGTTTCTTTGTAAGTCTGGTATAAAGCAGCAGTTTTGAGCCGCTTGCACAGATCTCGGGGAGGAAGTCGTGTCTCCTCCTCTATCTCTGGAAGAATGGGTCTGCACACCGTCCACATCCCTCCAAATGCACGCCCCTCCTCTTCCCCCACCCCCCAAGGGAGAAGGCAGCTAGCTGAGGGGAAAAGTCCCTCCTCCTCCAGGGGTGGGAAGGCAGACTGCAGGTCTGAGCGTGGAGGAGCAGGAGGAGGGGCTTCTCCTCAGCTCCCCAGGCGACTTCCTGCTTTTATCGGGGGAGGCAGGCTCCAGTAGGGCTGGTGTTTGAGAGGTCACTCAGCAGAACAAAACTCTAGGCAGGGAAACAGACTTGGAGCAGACAGGCAGGGCCATGGGACTCGGCCGTCTGCTCGGGCCTGATCTAGCTGTGGCCGAAGAATGCCCCGAGGCCCCCTCCACTGGAGCAGCTTGAGCTCTGTTCAGTTTTTCCTCACTTTCTGCGGACAGCAAATGGTTTGGTGCAGCTGTTGCTGCCTTGGCAGGGCGAGGGAGAGTCTGTGGAAATCAGCTCAACCATGACCTCCTGCTCAGTTTGAAAACATCCTCTGGAAATCTAGGCAACATCCCTGAGGTGTCTGTGGCTGCGAGCCCACCTTGCCCAACGAGAGAGCGAGATGCCTCTAGAATATGAGGCGGCCACCTGTCCTCCTCAGGGAAACAAGCAAGCGGCTCTGTTGCCAAACCGAGTGGTCATTGGGGAGAGTACCTCTTCTGCGCCTCTCCGCAAGGGACCGTGGTGGCTTTTCACCCACTATCGTCAGTTTCTCAACCAAGGCTTTCGTCCAAGTCAAAGGGAGAAGGCAGCTAGCTGAGGGGAAAAAGTCCCTCCTCCTCCGGGGCTGGGAAGGGAGACTCCAGGTCTGAGCATGGAGGAGCAGGAGGAGGGGCTTCTCCCCTCAGCTCCCCAGACTTCCTGCTTTTATTGGGGGAGGCAGGTTCCAGTAGGGCTGGTGTTTGAGAGGTCACTCAGCGGAACAAAACTCTAGGCAGGGAAACAGACCTGGAGCAGACAGGCAGGGCCACGGGACTTGGCCATCTGCTCGGGCCTGATCTAGCCGTGGCCGAAGAATGCCCCGAGGCCACTGGACAGACACCTCCACTGGAGCAGCTTGAGCTCTGTTCAGTTTTTCCTCACTTTCTGCGGGACGGCAAACGGTTTGGTGCAGCTTTTGCTGCCTTGGCAGGGCGAGGGAGAGTCTGTGGAAATCAGCTCAACCATGACCTCCTGCTTAGTTTGAAAACATCCTCTGGAAATCCAGGCAACATCCCTGAGGTGTCTGTGGCTGCGAACCCACCTTGCCCAACGAGAGAGAGAGATGTCTCTAGAATATGAGGCGGCCACTTGTCCTCCTCGGGAACAAGCAAGCGGCTTTGTTGCCAAACCGAGCGGTCAGTGGGGAGAGTACCTCTTCTATGCCTCTCCGCAAGGGACCGTGCTGGCTTTTCACCCACTATCATCAGTTTCTTAACCAGGGCTTTCGTCCAAGTCGATCTGTCACCCTGAGAGCCCGCAGAGTTTGCTCACCCCTACCTTTTGGTCTTCCCCAAGATCTTTACCCCCCTCTATGTACTACCTTGCCATCCCACGTCACTGTAGAGCTTTTTTGTTTGCAAGACCTCCATAGCCTTCTGCCGGAGGAGCTTCTCAGAGCAGGGACCCTTCCTCCTGCGACAGAGGAGGGAAGGTCCTAATTTTTCTGTCAGGTGCTCCAGGGGCCGAAATCGGGTAAGAGTTTCCCTTTCCCAGATAGATGTAGAGCTAGTATGTAATCTTGTCAAACATCCGGGCAGGCGGATGGGTAGTGCAGCAGCAGTTTGGCCACTGAAGCGTCCGCAGATGGCTTTGCCCTTGCGCCTTCCCCCCCCCCAAGAGTGCAGTTGCGAACTCAAGTTTCCTTGGGAGCATCTCTGCCACTCTGTCTTACTGGCAAGCAACAATTCTCTCGGCAATCTCACGCCTTACAGGGCCAGTTGTAGATCACAGGTTCATGTAGTGCTGTGCCTAGAACACCCATAATATTTGGCATTTGTGACCCCCACCCCCACATCCATAAGGGGAAACATCACCCTAAAGGGGTAGGATATCTGCTACTAGATCACAGGTTCATGTAGTGCTGTGCCTGGAACACCCGTAATATTTGGCATTTGTGACCCCCACCTCCACATCCATAAGGGAAACATCACCCTAAAGGGATAGGATATCTGCTAAGGGCTTTAATCCATCAAGGAAAAGAGAATCCAGACATTTTTCCCACTGTAGCTTCTGGTCACAAAACACCTTCCTTAGCTGAGGCTGATTCAGATCCGTGTCCTGTGTGGGACCCGAAGCCACCTCAGCTTCTACTTGGGGACAGAACCTTTTGAAGATGAGAAGGCTACAGAGAATGTAGCCGGGGACAGGCTTTTTCCCCCAGGACAGTTTCCCCCCAAGCTTCTGACTGTGGCTGTAGCAACGCCTCCTGTCCAACAGGGCTGTGATGACCAGTGAGGTCTTGCTCGGGGGCAGCCGAAGCCTGCAGGGACGGCTTCCGTGGTCCAAAACGCTGTTCCGTATTGTCGTCCCCACCCCACCCCCCTGCTCCATGCCTTCTCATCTTGCTTCAGGGAGATCCTCTGAAATCAGCAGTAGCCAGACTATTCCATTGGTCTATTAGTTCTGCAACGAGTTCAGCCAGAGGGCGTTGTGCACGGTCTGGCTTTGAACACCCCTGCTCCCCCCTGGGGGCTGATGAATGGCTGAGAAGCCAGCATGGCCACAGGGCCAAAGCTCCCCGGGGGAGAGGGGTGAAGGCTCCTCTGCTTTTTTCCAGAATCTGTTCTTTGGATTTAACCAGAACGCAGAGAAGAGGTGGATTCTTCTGGCACCCAACAGTCCTCCTAGACATCGCTGGATCTTCAGATCTGACTTTTCACTGCTGGAAATTAATCCATGGAACCCATTACGAAAGGAGTCTGGAGTTTCTTGGCACGCCTGAAGAAAAATGGGACACCCCTGAATCCGAAGCATGTCATTCAATTGCCAGTCA